AAACATCCACAAGATGGCGGCGTTTATCGGTGAATCCGATATTACAAAACCGATATCCGATTATTGTAAAATGCTTACATATCGGGAAAAATATCGGTAAAACGATATATCGGTCAATCTCTTATTGCTATACTTTATTCTCAAATTATTAATGTTAACAACATCAGCATTACGTGATGAGTATAGTGTGTATTAGTGAGTAGATTTCAATTTCTGGACAGTCTAATCTTTAATTGTCATACCATTCGAATTTCATATTCTGTTGTTATTTCTTGCATTGAATCTCTGTGCAGGAGAGTCAGCGGCTCGTGTATTGCACGGTACAGCAAATAATTTGCTCCATAAACTTCCCCTGTGCACCGGCACCATATCTATCATTCAGCACTGACGGGTGTCACAGCTGCGAGAGAATCCCTGCTCACCAGAGATAAAGCACAGAGGGCACAGGACAAATATATCTTCTTTAGAGAAATCCCCATGCACCTGCCATCCAGAGGGGTAAAGTATTAAACAATACAGCCAAGCCCAGAAAAAACTAAGCAGATTATAGAAGAATGGACTGTTGAGCAAAGCATACAGTATGAGCCTGCTGTACATTCCAGCATTGAAATGGAACAAAAGTTTAAAGGGTAGGCACTTTATGTCTACTTACAATATATAGTTCATGAATCACAGACTATTTTATGGCATTTGTTTGTAATTTTGAAGCTTAAAAAATGAACCCAAACAAATGAAAATTTGCAGAGAATTTACTCACCCTCATGTAATACAAGATGGAGATATAGCAATACATCACGTGCTCTGCAGTGAATGGGTGCCATCAGAATGAGAGTCCAAGCAGTTGAGTAAGCAATATTATGGACAGAGGACTCATTTTAGCCTGGAAGCAATGATTTGAAGCTAAAAATTTTGATGGATTTGTTTTTTTGTTTTTTTTTTACAAACATGCAGCTTTTCGCTTCACAGGACATTAATTGATGGACTGGAGTGGTGTGGATTACTTGTGGATTATTATTGTGATGTGTTTATCAGCTGTTTGGACTCTCATTCTGACGGCACCCATTCACTGAAGAGGATCCATTGGTGAGCAAGTGACGTAATGCTAAATTTCACCAAATCAGTTCTGACAAATAAACAAACTCTCCTACATCTTATCTTATTCACCCAGTTGAGTAAGCAATATTATGGACAGAGGACTCATTTTAGCCTGGAAGCAATGATTTGAAGCTAAAAATTTTGATGGATTTGTTTTTTTGTTTTTTTTTTACAAACATGCAGCTTTTCGCTTCACAGGACATTAATTGATGGACTGGAGTGGTGTGGATTACTTGTGGATTATTATTGTGATGTGTTTATCAGCTGTTTGGACTCTCATTCTGACGGCACCCATTCACTGAAGAGGATCCATTGGTGAGCAAGTGATGTAATGCTAAATTTCACCAAATCAGTTCTGACAAAAAAACAAACTCTCCTACATCTTATCTTATTCACCTAAGGCTGAATCAATTTTCTGAAAACTTTTTGCATTCCATAGGAACAAAATTACAGCATGAAGGTTTAGAACAGCATGAGGATTGTCATTTTTGGGTGAACTCCTCTTGTAACTCTCTTGCACTGTATACATTATCTATTGTTTCATGCTGTTTTTTGTCTCAAATAAACAGGAAAAGCGTACCCAGCACAATGAGACGAGAGAGGGGAAACATAATTATATAGCAACTGCATTAAGGAGAAGTCAAAGAATGTTCAATTGTAAGTGCATTACTGTTCACACGTTTGCTCAGGGACGAGTCTAAATTACTTCGTGATAATCGACAGCATTCCACATATGCAGTCAATACAGCTTCAGTTATATTTGACCCAGAGCATTACTTTAAATGTGCTACAAATCCAGAGACTGAATATTTCTGCCCTTGACAGACTATTTTAGCACTTTAGTTTATTATCAGCTTAAAATCTACCAAAAGTTTTTTTCTTTCGTTTGGAAAACACTGACCTTGCTAGCACGTTTGGATGATGTTTACGTTCCACAATATACTACTTTTATAAAACAGTAACAACAGCAATTTGATAAATGATACCATGCCTGACTGCAAATTATTGTATTAATATAGAATATGTGTTGATAGATGTATGTTTATCAGCATTCTACAAAGGCTTTGAACATGGCTCAACCAATCAGAGTTTTGTGTTATGGTGTGTATTTTTGTGTTTTCGCAGATGATGGGATACAGTTAGCTTATAGTTGGATTATATTTAAGCATCTACAAAATTGAAATGTAAGTCAGTTCATCCCTGGCTATAAAGCTGCTTTGCTCTTTGAATACTATAAGACAGTGTGAAAGTTTATGGAAATATATCACAGATTGTATAAGTAGCAGACAACAGGTCCTACAGGACTGTAACAGAATTCTGACCTGAACCAAACAAAACACCCACACTGGACACGCTTCTAATACATTTCAGTTTAAAAGCAAAAGACAGGGCTGGAAAAGCAGGGGTGTTCGAGTGAGAGCGTGTAGTGTGTTGTAAATAACACTTTTGCGTGTAGTGTTGGCAGCATAGTGCACTCTGTGAACAGTATGAATCAAGGTGACAGAGGCACGCTTCTATTCTTTCAATCAGTTTCAAATGCCCATAAAACAGACCTTACAGCACTCTAACAGTATCTATTTCTGTCTGCATTCAGTGTCCTGTGATAAATGGTACTGTCACTCTTACCAATCAACGATGCTTATGTTGACAGTTACGAGATATATTTTGCATCTTGTTAACATGAACATGTTCTCAGGACTAAGGTAACATAACACTAAAAGACAGCTCTTATCTGCGGATGCGCTTATAAGAGTCTAAATGGATAAAGATCAATGCAACTTAAACTTTAACATTCTCAGGTTTCTCAAGCGCCTGCTGATTGTGCTAAAACTTCAGTTTAGACAGAGTCTTGACACTTTAACACACTGATACTGGTTTGAAGAAAAATATAGTCTAATAACAGAAGTAACATATTTAGCCATAATAACAGAAATTAAAGAATATACAAATAATGGAGGAGTAAGTTTTATCTGAATGATCTGAAATACTTATATTATAATAGGCTACTTGTTTTAACAGTGGTTTAGTATGTTGGTTCCAAACACTAAGTTTAAAACTATTGCAAATAAGGATATTTTAGTGCATTGTACAAACTAAGTGAAATTTGTATCAGTTTGTTGGCTAAATCATTTGTTTTTTGTCATTTTTGTGTGACAATTGTTATGCTATTTAAATTTTGCTGCCACGTATGCTGTGGACGATGCCATTTTTTACTTTAGATAGGCTAATCAATAATTAAAAAAAAAATCTATTCTTCTCAAATCTGTCAATATACAGCAGGTTCGGATCGTGGCAACTACTGTAAGTGTGACAACATGCCCCGCTTCCAAAGTGCGTTCAACGATCTTTTTTTTTTCCCTGTGCAATAACGCAAATGTTCAGAAGCGTTGTGTATCCAACACTTTTCAAAATGCGTAAATTCTGATACTTCCCAAATCAAACCTAAGAAATATTTAGCCTACTGGAGTAAGAAGTGTGACAACTAGTCCCAGTCTTCTCTATTTCTGTAGAGCATCTGGTACTGTCACTCTTACCAATCAACGATGCTTATGTTGACAGTTACGAGATATATTTTGCATCTTGTTAACATGAACATGTTCTCAGGACTAAGGTAACATAACACTAAAAGACAGCTCTTATCTGCGGATGCGCTTATAAGAGTCTAAATGGATAAAGATCAATGCAACTTAAACTTTAACATTCTCAGGTTTCTCAAGCGCCTGCTGATTGTGCTAAAACTTCAGTTTAGACAGAGTCTTGACACTTTAACACACTGATACTGGTTTGAAGAAAAATATAGTCTAATAACAGAAGTAACATATTTAGCCATAATAACAGAAATTAAAGAATATACAAATAATGGAGGAGTAAGTTTTATCTGAATGATCTGAAATACTTATATTATAATAGGCTACTTGTTTTAACAGTGGTTTAGTATGTTGGTTCCAAACACTAAGTTTAAAACTATTGCAAATAAGGATATTTTAGTGCATTGTACAAACTAAGTGAAATTTGTATCAGTTTGTTGGCTAAATCATTTGTTTTTTGTCATTTTTGTGTGACAATTGTTATGCTATTTAAATTTTGCTGCCACGTATGCTGTGGACGATGCCATTTTTTACTTTAGATAGGCTAATCAATAATTAAAAAAAAAATCTATTCTTCTCAAATCTGTCAATATACAGCAGGTTCGGATCGTGGCAACTACTGTAAGTGTGACAACATGCCCCGCTTCCAACGTGCGTTCAACGATCTTTTTTTTCCCCTGTGCAATAACGCAAATGTTCAGAAGCGTTGTGTATCCAACACTTTTCAAAATGCGTAAATTCTGATACTTCCCAAATCAAACCTAATAAATATTTAGCCTACTGGAGTAAGATGTGTGACAACTAGTCCCAGTCTTCTCTATTTCTGTAGAGCATCACTGTTGCTGTAAGTCAACTCTAAACAACATCACCATAATCATTATAATAGTGTGTGTCTGAGCTCACCTTGCGCGAGATCTGATATGATCTACTGGAATCCGGCAGTCCAGATCTGTGTCTGTGATCATCAGCTGGAGTTAGAGAGAGATCGCACCTGTATCCGGCAAACTTCTTTTCTTATCTCTCACGGCTCGGTTTGGAGCTCAAGCGGTTTCCACTGAACACTTTGGCGAAAATGTTGTAGAACCAACCCCGACAATGTGCTATCATAATATCTGGTCCTCGTCGTCCATAAACCGTGAGATGGTAAGCGATGATCCGAGAACGCAGAGAGGAGCGCGCGGCGACGCCATCAAACTGCGCGTAAAGCGAGAGCGCACAGATATAAGAGCGCGGGCACACACGTCAGTAATCCAGAGATACTACTAGCAGAGATATGGATTACACTGCGCTCACACACAGACGCCTGCTCGCGCGGGTGTCATTTTCACAGCTCGTTTGCAATATTGGGCGTCCCTCTTGAGAAGTGACTGTAACGGGTTACTTTTGTGTGTGGTGTTGTAAATCTGTTACTGCGTGACGGTACCATGGTACATTGATGGCAGCATATGGTGTACCAGATGTATCGCATGGTACATGGTATATACCTGGGTATTTACAGTACATGGTTCTCCAAGGAATACAGTTGCGTAAAACCATAGTAGTACAATTTTAGTTCCAATGACCATATTGACAGTCACAGTATTTACACTTCATTAAATTAATAATGAAAAATGTTCCACAGTTGTGTCTAAACATATGGAAATACTTGTTCTGGCCTGTTTTATTTTGCTGCATTTTTGTAATGTTTGTTATGTTTGTTTTTTTTTTAAATAGAAAAGGATTCTTCTCCTCACTTCAAGAATGTGTTCAAGATTTTGTTTTCACAGTTTCCACAATTCTGGATTTAGTGACTGCATGTTGAAGCTTGACCTCCAATGTTAGGCAAATTAATACAATTTAAGACTGACTGTCTTTGATTTGATTGTCTCCTGATATTTAAATGGCAATTGATCATTGAACTCCCATTTTACCTTATGCACTTTTCTGAACTCACGCTGCTTTGAAAGAATGCCAGCTGAAAACTATTCTATTCTATTCTATTCCCATTTTTATTTATACTGTAGCTAATTATAATCTTGTATATAAACACAGGTATTTCCCTCTTTAATTCAGACTCTAACGCAGAAGTGTGACTGCCTCTAAATGAAGCATATTTTACAGGCCTAAATGTGTTTCTGTCTTCACAGTTTATTAACTCCATATTGAGACAGCACTGTTTAATCACAAAATCTGTTCGTGAAATTGTCACATTTTTTTTTGCTGAACACAAAAGAAGGCATTGAATCTTAGAAATGAATGTCCTATTATAGTATCTCAGCAGATATGACAGCTGCTTTTGTAGAGCATTCAAACACTTCCATCCCATCACAATGCACATGCAAAGAAGACAGAGGAAGCCAATTCATCCGAGCGCCTGGTAATCGGTGATGCCGCTGTTCATTTGTCTCAAGTGTCATGTGTAGGACCACATTCTGGCACAAGCAGATGCTTTTCATTTTGTTACATTCCACGTTGAACTGTGCACATTTGCTCTCTCCGACTCTTTTTCAATGTTGAACTGCACAAGAGTAGACATACAATGTGTTTTATGAGGGTGTGTATTATTTTAAAAGTCATCGGTTGTCAGTCATCCATGCTGAGTTATACAATAAGACTTAAATGTTGCAAAACAAGACTTATATATTGGTTTGCAGGTTATGTAGCTGGTCTCCCAACCTGATTTAATGTTTTTTTGGGGGGGATATTCTTTAGCTAGTCAAGCTGGAATCAGATAGCTGACCAACTAAACATCTGTTTGGACAGACTGGGAGACCAGACAGAGCAGCTTAAACCAACTAAGACCAGCAGAGAGAGAGAGAGAGAGAGAGAGAGAGAGATGTTTAAAAATAGAGAGATAAAGAATAGTTAGGAGATGATTTGTATGTTCTCATGGAACTGGAACGTCCCCGAAACTTGTATGTGATTCCATTTCCATTGGTGGCAATATTTGATTTGATGCAACTTTAGCAGAGACTTTTCTGAAATGTAGCATTACATCACTTGTTCACCAATGGATCCTCAGTGAATGGGTGCCATCAGAATGAGAGTCCAAACAGCTGATAAAAACATCACAATAATCCACAAGTAATCCATACGACTCCAGTCAGTCAAACAACGTCTTGTGAAGTGACGAACAAATTCGTCATTGAGTCATTTAACCGTCACTTTTGACCAAAATACTAATACATGATAACGCTTCCTCCAGTGAAAAAGTTTATCTCCTGATGTCATTTTCCTTAAAAATCCACTGACATATTTGTTTAGAACTGTTTTTGCTTGTTAGCGGTGCTTGATCTGTGCATATTTCTCTCCTGATTCAGATAAGACGACTTTTCACTGGACCCTTCTTCTTTACAAGTGTATGTGTGCACATGCATGTTGGTTTGCACCCTGAAATGTCCTTGGCATTTACTCTCTCTCTCTCCTGGTGTCTCTGAACCAGCAGGGATGAGGCCGTGGGTCTCTCACGTGACTGTGCCGCAGGACAGAGCTGGAGGTGGAAGCCAGGCTGTCTGGACAGTGGCTGAAATCTGATGACAGCCGCTGAGAGCAGGTGCTGCCAAACGCCGGCCCGCCGCCGAGACGAGGTCAAACAGGACTCGTTACGCGCTGCTTGTATCCTGCCTTACGTTCCTCAGATCTGACGAGACAAGGATCCAGGCACAGCTCATTAGACTGCAGGAGAGAGAGAGAGTGAGTTCCCACCCGCTCCCGTCTGGCCTCTAAAAACAGTGAGCCAGTGTGCTTAATAGACTCTGTGTAATAGCTGCAGGGCTGAAGCACACTACTGTCAAATGCACACATCTATTTTCATTTTTAGCAGTTTTAGCAAATTAATTCCTTTGATAGCACTGACTTCTCAGTGCCTGTGTGGTGCATCTGCTTGTTTTTTGGCTGAAGCTGTTTAGATTAGATTAGTTTAGATTTTAATTTGTTTTTTGAGAATCTTTTTTAAATACATTTTTCATAAAGACTTTTGCATGATTCAGTCTTTATGTAACTAAAAAAAATAGATCAAGTGTAAGTAAAACACCATGCAAACACCCCTCAAATTTTCTAAACTTTTTCCAAAAAAGTAGTAAGAAGCTTATAATTTTTCGACCATATGTAGTTTAATTTGTAGTTCAGAAAATCTGTAATTCAGTAGTTGTCATACAGCCTTATATTAATTTTCAGTCAGAATGCATGGTTGTCTATTAACTCCTTCATGACCCTCACTAAGGGTTTGAATCCTGACCTAACTTACTTTATTTGTCATTTGCACAGCTTATTCTGGGCATACTGGGCATTGAAATGCTTACAATTTAATTAACTTATTCTGGGCATACTGGGCATTGAAATGCTTACAATTTAATTAACTTATTTTAATCAATTGTATTTGAACTCGACAGCATGCAGAGATCTAGTTTAATTTTCAGCAGTTTTAGCAAATTAACTCTCTTGATGGCACTAACATCATGATGCTTGTTTGGTGCAGCTGCCTGTTTATTGGCTTACAGCTGTTATGGATTAGTTTAGATTGTTATTTATTTAGATTTTTTTGCTTTCTTATAAAGACTTTCGCATGTGTCAGTCTTTACGTAATAAAAAACATAACTGAAAATTGCTCATGCAAGCACCTTTCAAATGTTCTTCAAAATATGCAGGTTATAATTTTTTTTTGTTTTTTTTACCATTTTTAGTCTTTTTAAATTTTTTTAAATTCATTGAAGGTGAAATTATGTGTTTGTCAAACTGAACTAAAATAAGATGTCATCAAATAAATTTAATTCAAGGCTTATTTCTAGTGAAAATTCACTGAGGCTGCTATTGAATTGGAGTGTGCAGTGGATGGTGTTGACATTGCATATCAATTACCGACCGACACTTTCATCCGTCTGAAATATGAGAGGTTTATGTTAGTACTTCTTGACACCTCTGGCCCAAAAGTGAATGTCTGTCATAGTGTGGTCATTGAGAGCTGTGATAAATCTAATGCATTAATCTGCATCAGCTGTTTGGGTTTACAGCTCGTGGCAACAACACGGAGAATGTCCCACTGCAACAGACACCTGATACAGGAATGAGACCTATCAATCACCTGTCTGCATATAAACTACCTGAGCTCTGAGATATGATGCTGTGCTGAGTGAATAAGTGTCTGTGTTTGTACTGAAGGAGTCTGATATTTAATTCAAGCTTCAGGCCCTCACCAAAGTGCAAGACACATTTAAAGAAAAAAAAAATAAAGCGATTCATTAAGTTCTGTTTTCTCACACTGGGTGATAAAAATGGAGAGAGGAGAGAAATTAACGATTATTAAAGATTAGAAAAAGAAATTAAATTAAAGATTTCAACTCAAGCTGTGAGTTTCAGGACTCTCACAGTATTGCAAATGCAAGTCTTATGATTCCAGTTACACCCATTAGTGTGAAATATTAATTTTCAGTTGAAAGGCATGTATTGTCTATTAAGTCCTTCACTGACCCTAACTAGGGGTTTCAGGCACTTGCAAGGAGTCCTGGTTTCAAATCCCATCCTAACATAAAGTCTGTCATTTGCACAGCTAATCACTGGATCAAAATACATATCATTTTATTTAATTTTAAATATTTATAATTTTATATATATAAAATATATACATTTTATATTGATCACTATTAATTTTTGTTGTATGGAAAAGAGTAACTTTGATGTTTCAATAAAAGCTATTTATTTTGTTGTCCAAGTAAGCAAAATAATAATAATTATAATTTCTGAGTGACATGAGAGTGTGTAGACAACTTGAAACACCATAGAAACCTATTTTTTTAGGAATCTAAAGGTAAAGTTTACCCTCCAGAGTATTTCAGTGTAAATCAGTGTTGTTGTTTTTTTATTCAATTATATTTTGTATTATTACTTTAACTATTATTATTAACACAAACTTGTATTACATTGCAATGACCACAAAGCTTTTTGGCTATCTACAGTAGTAATGTCATACAAAAAAATTGCACTGATGAACTTTATACATAACAAGACAAGAAACAATAGAGTAAACAAGGCCAATTCTGACTTTAGGTGCACTTTGAGCTGCACATATTAGATTGTCAGATATTAATGAAGGTACTCTATTGGATTTCTGTAATGCTGCTCAATAAGTACCGGTGTCTTCTGCCATCTAGTGGAAAGATACAGCAATGCCAGATTACATGTAAGTAATATAGTGGTCTATTTTACAATAAAAGT